AGTTGTGATGAAAACTCAGTTAAGAGCTTAATTTTGAACATAGTAGTGCGTTCATATATATTAGAAGAATGATGTATTTATATATATATATATATATTGTAAAATACTAATTTTATTCAATAACCATGCATTAATATTCAATATATATGTACTCAGTTAATGTTATCTGTTATGTTATAAAGATCATTATCATATTTAAAATTTTAGAAACATTACACTTTTAGTACATATGATAATATGAAAAATAATTGAGAGAAGTTTTTTAATTATATAATTTTTTATATAATTTTTTATATTATTTAATAATTAATTTTTTATTTATTTAAAATATATGAAATTAATTTTATTTATTTATTTATTTAATAATATATAAAAATTATATAAAAAAATTATTCTTATATCGTTACCCTAATTTTATTTTTTTTAAGTGATATATCTAGAACAAGAAATTGACCGCACTTCACCTAAAATAAGAAGTGGAATGTTGTGGCAATTAATTACTTCCAATATCACTAGTGGATTGCCCACAAATCATATCAAATACATTTTTTAATTCAACAAAGTGTGTCAGACACACACTCACCCAATTTCTTCTGCGCACTCATGGCTCATGCACTTGTACAAACATTCCCCCCACCTTGTCTTTTTAAACTCTGTCTTTTTATATGTACAAGATGAAGATATTAGAGCCTATCCATTTGCCTTTTCCTTTTTCTTTTCTTTTTTTTTTGTGTAATAAGTTATCATGCGTACTTAAACCCAACCCCAATAAAAATGAGAAACCGCATTTTAATAAGGTAACAAAGATTATTCAATTTAATGGATCAAGTGTGTCGGTCCATTTACCTTTATTAGAAATAGATGGGGGAATATATATTTTTGTACTAAATAATTAACTAGAACTACTTTTATTAGCTGTAAATTTGGTTTCATGAGCTAATTTTCAGGAACTATACTAAATTTATATTTTTTATTTAATTAAAAAGCAAATCATTCACATTAAATTAAAAAATTATAAAAAAATATCTTTATTTACTTATTTACAAAATTATTGAATATTAATAAAGTAAATAATAAACTCTGTACCAACTGCCAATGGTAATGTATAACTCATTAACTTTAATCATTTTCTTCGTCACTAGACTTTTAAAACAACTTATGACTAAAATTATTCATAGTTTGTAATTAGTTCCAAAACATATCATCTCAAACTGTTGCATCTAATTACCTATTTTCAAAAAACAAACTGTTGCATCTAAAAAAATATTGATTGAGATGTTTCATGTTATTAAACACTGCCTTTTAACTCTCCTATATTGTCATACTCTTCGCACCACACCAAATAAATACAGTTCTAAATAAAAGAAAATAGTTTCATCGCGCCGTAACGCCCTTTACCGTTTTTGTCATTTGTTAAAAAAGTCCAATGGAATTATTGATAAAAAAAAAAAAAAGAGTCCAATGGAATATAGGAGTATAATTTTTTTTTGGTTTAATTAAATTCTTTAAAAACACTATTTTCTAAAAAAAAAACCTATATTTTTTCTGTAAAGAAAAATTATTTTATTTTATAATTATTGATTATTTTTAATGATAAAATAATAATTCTTAAATAAATATAATAATAACTCATTATATTAATAATTTAAATAATTTGATAATAATTTTTTATTAAAAATAAAATTTTAAATTTAAATTACATTATACAAAAGGTAATGTTATAACAATAATCTTTTTATATCACATTTTTATATAACTTTTATATGTTATTAAATGAATAGATACATTTAATATCATGAATTTATATGGATTAAAAAAATTAATTATTTAAATAATATATTAAATTATATAAAAAAATAAAAAAAATTATACAAAAAATCATTTCCCTTATACAAATGCGAGGCATAAGAAGAGAGGCCTTTTATCAAACAATGAGAACCCATAACGTAATGGGACAAAATAGATGCTACGTGGAAGACCATAAATTGTTGCCTAATTTATCCCAACTTCGGCGACTGTCCTTTTGCCTTTTTGGCTTGTTACATTCTCGTCCTGGAGAGAGAAAAAATCAAAGAGACGAAGACTGTAAGGAAAAATGGGAACTGTCATGGAATTCCAGACCAGGCAAAAACATCTTCTAGTTTTTTTGGAAATATGAATCTGCAACCACATTCGGATCACTCCATTCTTCGTTATCATCTATAATGGCGACTCCACTGTCGAGCCTGGAGACCGGTGGAGGAGGTGTAGCTGTAATGGCAGGTCCTTTGAACTCAATCGATCCATCAGCACCGGCTAAATCTTGCTTAAAGAACTCCGACAGTAAATCGCCGATTCTCATCTTCTTGTTCTTCCACAAGGCCATCAGAGCAGAGCTGGATGCGCTTCACAGAGCTGCCGTAGCTCTTGCCACTAATAGTGATGGTGCTGATGCTAGCTCGTTGTTGGAGAGGTATCGTTTTCTTCGCATGATATACAAGCACCACTGCAATGCCGAGGATGAGGTTGGTGTTCTTGTTCTTTTTTCATGATTGCTCTCCTTTTCTACAGTTATTGAGCTCTTCATTTACTCATTTAAGCTTTAATTCTCTTGATTTTTGGGATTCTGTTTTTGTTTGTCGTTCTTATTCGCTCTTTGTTCTTCTCATGTTCTTTTGTTTTTTCGGAGACAATTTTGAATTCTGCTTCGTCAAAATTAGCAACGCAGTTAGTGAAGCCTCTATCATTCGCTTTTCGTTATTTTTTTTTTTTTGGAGAATGACTTGTGAGGTTTTGACTTTTGAGGCCACAGGAACCTGTCAATTGTTATCTACAATTCGTATCATTTGAAACAATTAATGGCACTCAGTGTTAAGCTATGGTCCTATGGATTCTTCCTGCTTCTCTTGTTAATAATTCACACATGATCAATGAAGTTGTCATAGATTTTTTTTTTTTTTTTCCAATCTGTAGGTCATATTTCCTGCTCTTGATATACATGTGAAGAATGTTGCTCGCACTTACTTCCTTGAACATGAAGGAGAAAGTGTACTCTTTGATCAATTGTTTGGGTTGCTGAATTCAGAGATGCAAGATAAAGAAAGCCGCTGGAGAGAGCTGGCCTCCCGAACCAGAGCCCTCCAAACAACAATTACCCAGCATATGTCCAAGGAAGAGGAACAGGTGTCTATTAGTTTCTTTTAGAAAATAAAAATTTCTAGTAATAGCTAATGAATTCACAAAATGTTCATTTGAAGCCCTGGAATGGACCACTAATGCGTTTCAAAATCATAATTTTCATTTTTCAGTCTTAGTGTGCTAAAGCAGCAGTGCTGTTTTATTTTGGAGGCTGATGAGGCTAAAGATTTGTAGCTGAGGCATTTTGTCCTGATGCTTATCCTCTTCATGTTGACCATTGCTCTTAGCATACTGGTCAAGTGAACAACTTTCTAGTGGTTAGTTGAGGGGAGCTAAAATTACCAGGGATGCTTTAGCAGTCACTACTTCTGGACTCTTACACCCAATACATAATAAAAGAAATGAAGTGGCAAAACTTGTGATATATGAATAATGTATTATGAGTTAACAAGGTATCAAAAACCTGGCTAAGCAAATAAATGTTGATTCATGTTGAGAAGGTCGCCAAATATGAGATTGGAGTGTTGCTGAACCATCAGTGTTTCATTATCTAAGCTGAAAGTATCTTTGAATCTTACATGCTTGCTGCTTCATTTACAGGTCTTCCCCTTACTTGCTGAGAAGTTCACATTTGAAGAACAGGCATCATTGGTATGGCAATTCCTTTGTAGTATTCCTGTTGACATGATGGCTGAATCTCTTCCTTGGCTTTCCTCTTCGATATCATCTGATGAACATCAGGACATGCAAAAGTGCTTGTGCAAGATAATCCCAAAAGAGAAACTTCTCCGACAGGTGACAATTCCCTCTTGCTTTGAAATGCACTCCCCCCCCCCCCCCCCCC